CTATATTTTTGTTTTATGTTATTGTTGCAGAAGTGTAACCTATCTTTATTTGGTTTTGTAGCTGTATTTTGCTGAGCATTTCCCACTGGGATTGTCTATTGACCGGGGTTCAATAAGCCCCATTGAATATTGGACCGAGAAGAAGATAAAGGAGAGGGTGGAGAAAGAGAGAGGTAGCAATATGGGAATATTGCATGGAAGCAGTGGCAGCAAGGTTTACTCAGCAGGACATGAGGACAGTCCAATTTTGCAGTCTTTAGATCCAGTATGTGGGAACTTAGAAAATATACGTGACCTGAGCTTAAGTCAGTCTATTAGCCAGGTTGATACTTGAGATGACAAGACTTTATTTACAAATGACTAGTGAGATACTGGCATTCGATAACAGTGATCAATTTTTTTGATATCTTCATTTACTGTGTATGCAGGCGTTGAAGGAGTTGAGGGCTTGTTTTGTGAAGAAGCTTGAAGAAAGCCAGAGGACGTTAATAAAAGCTCTTGATGATGAGCTACTCAAATTGCAGACTGGATTGAACGCCAAAGTTAAGGGGATGGGGAATGAGAATGCCACTGCTAAAGAAGGGGTTGAAATAGTTAGTATTGTAGGTGGTAACGATGCTGAAGAAGCTGATGATGTTGACCGAGTGGTGGAGGAGATTGCAAGAGAGGTTGCAGCGGGAAGTGGAGATGAGGAACTTGATGAGGATGAAACCAGCAAAGGAGATGATGAGAAGGATGAGGATGAGGATGAAGAAGAACATGACCTTCATGGCAGGGAAGTCAGTGATGATTACATGGTTGAGGAGGTGGAAGATGAGGGTGACCATAATGGTCACGGAGGTGATGATGATGATGATGAGGATGAGGAGGAAGATGACCATGATGACAGGGAAGGATGTCATGTGGTTGATGAGGAGGAAGATGACCATGATGACATGGAAGTTAGTCATGATTATGTGGTTGAGGAGGCAGAAGATGATGATAAGGAGGTTCATTATTCAGATGATGAGGGTGAGGAAGATACACATGTACTGACAATGACCCCTACCAATGTTCCTTTGCTGTTGGATCACGAATGGGTGAGCAGTGATAGTGGGGAGGAAGGAGGGCCTGAAAAATCGATTGACCTTAAGAGGTCAACAAGGGCAAAGAGTTCCACAATTAAATCTCTGTGGATGGAATTCAAGGCAGCTCCAAGGACGAAGAGGCCAAAGGAGGAAAGGGACATCTTTTCACTTTAATATCCCGTAGACCCAAGGGAGAGGAAGAGGGGAAGATGTAAGTATATCCCTAGCTAGCCTTTTGTTTTTAAATGACACAGTGTGCCCTGACAGTGACAGCAATAGAATTGAAAATGACAATAAAATACATAGGGATGACAAGTAATGATGTCCCCAACACCATACTTTCTGTCACTGACATCTGACAATGTTTGCAGGACTGTCATCAAAATGTTTGATGAAGATATAGACCGACAATAGCTGTTTTCCCTGGGTGGAGTGAACAGAGTAAATAACAGGGTATTTTAGAATGCTCTGTCCTTGCACCCATGATTATGTTTGATAATGTTTGGTGAGATTATTGTATCAGAATGACGTTTTCACTTGTGTTCTGTAGGTGCTTAATTTGGTGTGCAAGGCAGTGATGGAGGACATGAAGGCAGAGTTGGGGCCAGGGAAGAGGCACATTTTCGATGTGGATTTCATGGTGAGGTTGCATAATTCCGAATGCAAATACCAATGACAGCAATTGAATTGGAAATGACTTGTTCTCTATTAATGGATTAACAATTTCATGTCATGTAGAACATGATGGCACATGATCCAACTTGGAAAGCCCAAAAATATAAGAAGCTCTTTCTTCCTGAGTTCCTTAGCTACAACTTAGCTGAATGTGATTTCATAATTGGCCCAGCTCTTGTTGGCTAACACTGGTTTTGCGTTGCCATTCAGCCTAGCACATTGGATTTCCACATATTAGAATCCATGAGGGACCATTTCAGAACCAAGAACAGAAAGAAGAAGAAGAAGATTGTCATCAAAGACCCAGTGGAGATGGCTGTGGATGATTGTGTAAGGAAAAACTCATTATATTTACCCTAGTTTTTGAACTTGTAAAATCATTAAACTTTCTATTTTTGTCCTGAATCTTTCTGCAGAGGACAAAGTTCAATATTATACTAGACTTGGTCAAGTCAGGATTGGTTGGGAAAAAGCCAATGTCTCCCATGATATTTACAGAAGTTCCCTAACAGAATAACCTGTCAGTTTTGTCAAATTCAATTTCTGTGTGGTAAATGCACATGTCAGATGTGTTAACTAACTGTGTTGATATTGTTGTGTCCACAAGAGGGATTGTAGGGTGCACTGCATGATGTGGCTGAGAAGATGGGAACCTGGTGTGACCCTTACCTACACAGAGGAAGAAGTTACTGGCTTTCGTTGTGACCTGACATGGTGGTTGGTGAATCATGAACAGAATGAAAAACATGACGACGCATTGGCCCTTATTCGACAACCACAACCAACCAAGAGCATAAAGTCCAAGAAAAGGCGTCGGTCTTAGGTGTCTCAATGTTAGGCTCATAATTCACTTGTCCTCTGTTAGATTGTTGTATGTAATGTGCATTGTAGGCTGACCAAAAATTTACTGTGTATTGTTATGGTTAACAGAGATTGGTGTCCATAAATGTATGATTGTTGAGATCCATGATGCCAATTTATTCCCTAGTGACATGAATGAATTTGAGTTTAACTACACCAAAACAGATGATGACAACAACCCTATTGGACATGTGCTATTGGTTTCCATTTTTTGTTCAGGTCACTCAATTTTACTTCAATATATCTTGTTTGTATCTAACAGAAAATGACACAAAGTGAAGCGAATATAACAACGATAATGATAAGGATAACCTGGTCTGATTTTATAACATCAGTTTAACATCAGCTGTCAGCTTATGCTGATAGCATCACTGCCAATGACCAGAACAAATTTTAAAATGACAACAAGTGATCCAAATATGACAACGATGATGATGAGGATAACCTGGTCTGATTTTATAACATCAGCTGTCAGCTTATGCTGATAGCATCACTGCCAATGACCAGAACAAAGCTAAAAATGACAACAAGTGATCCGAATATGACAATGATAATGACAAGGATAACCTGGTCTGATTTTATAACATCAGTTTAACATCAGCTGTCAGCTTATGCTATAGCATCACTGCCAATGACCAGAACAAATTTTAAAATGACAACAAGTGATTTGAATATGACAACGATAATGATATGGATAACCTGGTCTGATTTTATAACATCAGTTTAACATCAGCTGTCAGCTTAGCATCACTGCCAATGACCAGAACAAAGTTAAAAATGACAACAAGTGATCCGAATATGACAACGATAATGATAAGGATAACCTGGTTTGATTTTATAACATCAGTTTAACATTAGTTGTCAGTTTATGCTGATAGCATCACTGCCAATGACCAGAATAAAGTTAAAAATGACAACAGGTAATGCGCCATTAACAAAAGCTAACATCCCTATAACAGTAACTTCCTTTCATGTATTCAACGACAAGTGGACATTAAGATACTAGCCACACTTAATGCTCCCTTATCACTGAAATTTCTATTAGCTTACTTACAAAAAAATATCTCTACCTAGCTCCTAACTACAACCCCAGTCCCAAAAAAGTTGACAAGGGCAGAGCATACAACTATGTACACCAAAAAATGACCCATCCCCACTGTACTCGAAACTTAATGATGGGTTAGGATTTCAGCAATTCCTCCTTATGTGTCCAGGTTGGTGGCATCTTCCACATTGGTATATCCGTTTGTTCTAGAACTGTGATTCATCCCTGTTTACTTTTGGCATTCCTGGTGGCCGAGATGTAATGGGAGGTAGCAAGAAAACTTGCTCATTGACATTTTCTAATCTATAGTAATCATTTGGGTGAGGCATGTCTGTTGTTACCACATGAATCATACTGCGAGCATAAATCTTTTCTTGTGATGACTTTTTATAGCAATTATCAATATAATCATAAACATTGCCATGCACAGTCTTAATGACAGTACAAGCATGGGAACAAGGGATCCCCATCATTTGCTAAGATTTGCAACTGCATTAGTGTAGTCCAAGATCAACCCGATGGCCTCCACGTGATGTTTTCACCTTCACTCTTCTCCCACCATAATTTTCAGCATACATATGGTCAGACCCAACCACCATATCTAGCACCTTACTTTCTATATTTGGACCAACGCAATTCTTCCATTTGGTCATAGCCATATAGGAGGCATGCAGCTTTCTTGCAACTTTATCTTGGTGCTTATAGATCAATTGGGGTACAGTATGCTTTCTCTCATTGACCATCCATGCATTGAATGATTCGGCTATATTACTTGTAATATTGTCCCATCTTTTATATGGGAACTTGCTTTTAGCCCATCTATCTACATCCCCATGATAAATAAGCCAATCAAATAGCCTTGGAGAAAAGGATCTCATGTCATCCATTTTTGCGTTAAATTTCTCATCCGTTCTAGTGTATGCAATTTTATCCAATAAATATAGTGCATCCTCCTTTGATCGGCCATTTGTCCTTGTTTGCCCCTTATTCATTTTCATAACTTCTGAACTAAAATTCTCCTTGATGTGTCTATAACAAAAGGCATGCCTTTGGTCCCCAAAGATTAATGCCACTCCTCCGATTATAGCATTGTGTCGATCTGATACAATCGTTACTTCCACAGAACCCAAGATTTTTTTATCATATAGAAAAACCATGTCCAGTCATCTAGTGTTTCTCCCTTGACAATTGCAATTGCAAACAACAGCAACTTGTTATCTACACCATAAGCTGAAGCTGACAACATTGTCCCCTTGTATGGTCCACTTAAGTGAGTTCTATCAACATACATAATATGCCTCGTGCCACCCAAGAAACCCTCAATGCATGCCCCGTAGGCAATAAAAACACGCTCAAACCGATTTTTCATCTGTTTCCTTTATCCTTTCGCATACCCATGGTATGAGCATGTATGATTGTTCAGGCCTGTCATATATGTCTTCCAATGACTTCTCTCTTGCTCTATAAGCCTGTTTATATGTTAGATCAATCCCATACTCTCGTTTCAACCTCTTCCTTATCTCAGAAGTGCTCTTGTCTGCATGATCCCTCATCTCATCAATTATTATTGATGAGTTCAAACTAGCTCTTCCACTATGCATCACGTCCAAGCTATCTTGGGCAGAATGAACATGCCAGTTTATAAATGTCGTCACTCTTAGCACATCACAACTCTTCTCCACATGATTTGCATATAGCTTCCATGGACAACTCTCAACTTTACACCTCATCGACATGAATTCCTTACTATTCCTCACATACTTGGCCATAAACTTGTTTACAAGTGCAAACTTGTATGCAGACACTCGAAATACATCTACACCAGGAAAACGTTGGCCCACTCCTGTAAAAAGTCCCCTCCATTCCGCATGAACCATCTCACTACCATCCGTATCTTCAGCTCTGATAGATTTATCCACATTAGGGGGCCTACTTATTTCATCATTGTCACATTCACGAGCATTTTCTTCACTGAGCCAGCCATAATCACAACACAAATTATGGGAGACGCATCCAGTTCCGTTTGCTGTGACATGCCCATGAATCTCTCTGTTCTACATTCATAATGACAAGATTCATTAACACAAATGACAAGATGAAATTCATAAATGACAACAAATAGTTAGGACAAACTTCCACTTACATTTCTATATTGTCCCTTGGTTGGGGACCCACTTGTCTTTTTTCGGCCACATACACATGACTGCTGTTCCCATTGTATTGAAAGAGGTTATACATTTCAGCATTGTCATGAAGGTCAATCAATGTCTTCTCATCAAAGGCTACTGTGTACTTAATGTCATAATTTCTTCCATCACCACCAATCCACTCACATATCATTAGCCTCAATTCATCAAGTGTTAGCCCATCCTTAATGCTTCTTAACCTCACGCCACCTCCATTATATCTCACTTCACCTTCACCATTTGTCACAAATTCCCCCCACATGAAAATAATAGAATAGCTCCTTCCCACAAGATGACGCAGCTTCGAAATTCATTTTCCTTCATTACCTGTACTGATAACAGAAGTCGAATGATTATATGACTTAATATCATCATCATCAACTTATATGACCAACTTAGGGTTTGACACATTCATGCTTATAATTTGCAACAAAACACTCATTTCTTTCCCGTCCACACTAATGCTTTATTTTCTCAAATCAATCCACTCCATTATTCGAATCTCCCTCCAACATTGTGCCTTTATCTGACACTAATCATTCTAACCCATTTGTGACACCATCAAACCCCTCTCCCTTAGTGTTTTTCCTTCCCCATGCATTCACCCTCTGATCACCGTCCTTCCCCACACTTTCTATATACCCACGCCATCTCCATGCTTCGCCAACCTCTTGACCTCAAAATTATCCCCACATCGACAACATTGCCATCTAACGGGAAGAGGAAAATCAACTAGCGCATAAAGGAGACAGACAAAAGACAGAGGCGAACAATATAGTCACTGAATACTAACCTCACTTCCGTCGTTCAGTTGTTGCTTCGCGCGTTCATGCTCCCACGTTCATGGTCCCTCCCAAGTTTTTCCTCCAGCTCCCGCCACAACTTGCACACTTCCACCGGTCATTTTGTCTGTTTGTATCATGAGGGGCTGTTTGGTAATTGTGCAACATTTGCATAATCCCAAATCAGGCAACACTTCCCTATCTGATAATACATTTGCTTAGCTTCCCATTTTGGCATTTTATAATTTCAGGTTTCTTTACATGTCATTTTCCCTATCTTTTATAACCCTACTTATCTTCTTTTTAATTAAAATTTTTCTTCTGCCCCCCTTCATTTCTTTTTTCTCCTTTTGTTTCTCTCATACCAAACAAACTAAGGGTAATTTTAAAATGGTACGATAATTTTTTTATAAAATGAAAAGTATTAACCCATTAACTAATTCTCTAAGCTTTTTTTAATAGATGTAAAAATGGCAATATATAGAATATTTCTTCCGATCAGATGTAACATTTCCATTTAGAACTAAGGATAGGGTTAACTTATTAATATTGTTTAAAAATTAACGGAGTTTCTGACTTTACCTTTATTAAACTCGTCCTTTAAATGCCCAATTTAGAAAGCATAAATCATTATTGAATAAAGACAAGATGAGAAAATTGCAACAAGTATCTCTTATGGTGGCCTATAGAAAGGATAAAACAAGTCTGAGTGATAAACAACGTAATTTATATTAAATTTCATATCCTTTTAATTTTTAAAATATTTGTTATGGGGCGTTTGAATAATATAATCAAGAAAAAAAATCTAGTATCACTAATAAAAGAAAGTGGCATTTACCATGACATGCAGATACAGCAAGAAGGTTAAGAAAGAGAGCTGAGATGAGAGAAGCCTTTCCCATAATTTTTTTGTTCTCAAAATTTATGCCAAACAAAAAGAAGTGGTTGTTTGTGCTTCTTGCAATATTAGTTCAGCTCTTGTACATATTTATAGTGGAGGGGTAAGTAATTCAGTTTTTTTTTGGGGAACGGAATATATGGTAAGTGGATTATGAATTAAGATTTGGATTTGATGAAATATTTTTATAGAAAATAATTGTATTGGCATTTAATGCAGAAGATTATAGTATAATTGAAAATCTACGTAACTAGAGAAATGATTCCTTGAAAGGTTTGTTGCAAGAAAAACTGAGAAAGTTTATATATTAGGAAAGAAAAATCCTACATGATTAATTCCTTGACTTTTTAAAAGAAAAATAACAAAGCAAAAATATATATATATATAATTTGTGTGTTGTGTTGCAAGGCTTTCAAACTCACAAGTTTAAATAAACTTGTGATAATGATATAAACTCATATCATAAACTCAAATCATGAACTTGTAAAAGTTTACTTTTATTAATAAATTAGTATTAAAAGTATATAATCAAATAATTAATATATCAAAAAGGAGAACAATTTTGTTTAAATATATTTTAAATTTAAATAATTGAAATTATATCCCTCAATATTCATAATTTATCACATTCAACAAAGAAATTTTTATAAAATTCATATATAAAGTCACTAAACATAATCAGATTAAAAAATTTAGCATGAGTTTAAGAATAAATTGACACGATTTTATAAACTAAAAACGTAAAAAAGGTAAACTCAGAAAATGAACTTACAAGTTTAACGAAGTTTACAGTTATCACGAGTTTAAAAGTAAGTCGATACGATTTTATTAGCTAAAAATGTAAAAATGTTAAACTCGGAGAGTCAAGTTGCAAGTTTGACATGTTGTGTGTGTATGTATTTGATTTCTTGATTCTGAATGATGTTTAGAACTTTCTATTAAACTACTATCTTTTTATTAAAATTTACTTTTTGCATGGTTCCCCAAAAAAAATTTGCAATTTTATTTATTTCTCAGAATAATATGTTAAAATAAAAGAGTCATTTAAAAACTCAATTGCCCCATGTTTTTACTTCCCATATATTTGTGTTTTTAATTACATTTTCATTTAAATTTGAATGTAAATATGTATATGTGGTTTCTAGCTAGATTCTGAATGATGTTTAGAACTTCCTATTAATCTACTATATCTTTCTATTAAAATTTTCTTTTTGCATGATTCCCAAAAAACACTTTTTACAATTTTGCTTATAAAATTATTGCTCATAAAAAGTCAATCTGTTAAAAATAAAAGAGCCATTCAAGTTAAAAATCCGATTGTCCCAAGTATTTACTTTCATAGATTTGTGGCTTTTTTTTAACACTTCATTTAAATTTGAATGTAAAATATTAGGATTATATAGTGACAACTACACAAATCACAAGTGATACCCTCGAAAATTAGTTTTTGAGATTCATTCAGAATTTTTACTTTGATATGCTCTTACATTGCATTATTATTAATTGGATAAAATGCATGTCAAATTAATTAGGTCCATTAGGTCCAAGTATCTGACGAAATTTTGCCATATGAATTAATAGTACACATTAGTATTCAATCTCTATTAAACCAAATTATGCAAGGAGACTTTGAGCGTTGCAGTTTTGTCGTCCCCTCGCTAACGTCGTTCATCAGAAGGTTCAATGCTGACGTGGACAATTAATCATGATGGCCAAATTTTATCAGCTTATTAGACCTAACAGACCTAATTAACTTGGCGTAAGTTTTGTCCTTATTGATTATATACCTATTTTCAAATAACATATATTATATTCGTTTTGTAATGTAAAAGTTAGGTAGAAATTCAATTTAATTTTAAATATAAGAACTTAATCTATTTACAGTATTTATCTATGTTTTTTTAAGCAACCCCTATAATAATTATATATGTTAAAAATCTTTTATTAATGAGTAACTTCAATGCACATGATTCCCAATAATATTTTAGAAAAGACAGCATTCTTTTATTACAACTGACTAATTTAATTTATTTTTTTAATTTTTATAAATTAATTATCCAATTTTTATATTAAAAATCGAGGTGATAATCACTTGTACATTTCTTTGTCAATGTGCAGGTAGGTTGGCTTGGAAAACCTATAAACCTAGTGTAGGTTTTGTTCATTTCATCAATCCCTTTATTGTGGTGCAAGAATTACTCGATCGATTTGGACAAATAGAATGCACCACGTTCTCTATTTTGATCCTTTTGTATGTAGTTATATAACTCTTTACTATTAGGGAGAAAAAATTTAGGCCGCAAGTCCTTATAATTTATCTCAATTTTAGATTAAGTCTTTGTAGCTTATTTGTTTAGATGGGGTCCATACTGTTTTATTCATTAATTTTAAATTATAGACTTTATGAAATTTGATTTATAGAAATACATAGATGTTAAAACAAGGTGAAATGAAATGAAGCAGATTTCATAAAGTCTATGAAACTTTACAAATAAAAATTAATGACTTTTATATTTAAGGATGAATGCTTATAATGGATCAAACTATAAGAATCCAATGTAAGCAAAATAAACTACATGAACTTAATTTAAAAGTTGAACAAAATTATAAGGACCCGTTAAGTAATTTTCTCTAAAAAAAACTTAAAGCAATTCATAAACAATCCAGACTTAGCTTTGATGTTTAGATTAAAAAAAAAGGTTTAAAACTAATATAATTTTATTAAGCTCATGGTTTTGGAACCAAAGTGAGAACACAATACATTATAGGGTTGGGAATAGATTTAGTTTTGGGCATGGCAGGCACAATAACATTGCCCTTTGCTGTTACATGCTTGGAAATAACAAGGTCCTTTGGGACATAATAAATATTGGCAATCATGGGCACTTGTACACTTTTGTACTAAATTTTGTGTGATTTTTTGATCAAGACATTGGCATTTCCCCTCAACACAAGCAGGTGTTCCTATGCATTTAAGTCTCTTGCCACACTCAACACCACTGCTACATTCAATGTTGTCTTGTCCTGTTCAAATGTTTGCGTACATGAAGTAATAAAAACAGTTAAAAACATTAAATTTATTATAAAATTTAAGTGATTTTAATATTATTCTTATTAATCACATTAAATTTCAATATTATATTGATTTGTATTCTCTTGCACTATCTTTATTAAATATATGAAGAAAGTGTTTCATAAGGAAAAGAGGACGTATTAGAAAAGTGCATGACATGCAAAGAATAGAGTTTAAGGGTAATTTTGAAATGTTATGATAATTTTTCAAAATCAAGAGGGGTAACTAATTTAGTAAACTTGTTTATGAATACATGTGATTTGATTAAAAGTCAGAATAAATAAAATACTCCCTCGAATTATTTCATATACTACCCTATCCTAATTATAAGACTCTGTTTAAAACTATAAATAATGTCTTATAATTAAGACATGAGGTAGTATTATTTCAATACTTTCATCAAAACTAAGGAGAGGTTTAACGCTTATTAATTCTGCTTGAAAGTTAACAAAGTTGCTAACCTTGCCTTTGTTAATCCATCCTTTAAAGACACAAGTTCAGAAAGCATA